TGTGTGTGAGTGTGTGTGTGTGAGAGAGAGAGAGAGAGAGTGTGTGTGTGTGTGAGAGAGAGAGAGAGAGAGAGAGTGTGTGTGTGTGTGTGTGTGGGTGTGTGAGTGTGCGTGAGTATGTAGACTTCTATACCTTCTTTCTTGCTGAGTGTGCGTGAGTATGTAGACTTCTGTACCTTCTTTCTTGCTGACGGAACCTATTGCGTTGTCGTCTGTGTCAATCTCTATGCACATCTCAGCCATGAGCCTCACCTGCTCGTCATCGCACCCTTGAAAGATTTCGGAATCAGCAGCTCCCATCATACTGTATAGTTGTTACTGCGATGTGTGTGGTTGTCAATTAAAAGTATTGAATGTCCTGTGGTTGTGATCTGTGTCAATTGATCGGGACCTCTCTATTATATAATGATATATATGATGTCCACTGTCCACGGTTTCTTTTTATCAGTGATTCCTACTACTATACTGCTAAAAATACTATAAATACATCACTAAATAAAAAGGACAAACCTATCGTATATCGCGGGTGAACGAACATAAGTAATTACAGGCTCGCCCTAATTAGCACCGTAGTACGGTAAAGTATCTCACAAAGCTCACAGTCCCAGTTCAGAGTGACGAATGTGCAACTTTCGACATCCTACGTCCAATCAACCATGTTTCTGTCCATCGCATCATTGAAAGGCACCAATAGATTCGCATTGATTCTGACTTTTCTTTTTGATGACGTTATTACGGAAACCAGTGTCGTAAACTAATTGTCACAATTGCACATAATTATCCGTTGTATATATCAGTTGGAAACATCAGAAGTGGTTAACGACATACATTTAAATCTCTTTTGAAGCCGTATTTTACCAATTGTAATGACACCCTGTTTCACATGGATCATGCCATTTCAGGCGAAAACGTAAATACTTTTACGGGCGGATGTCATTGACACGTACGATTTTATAGAGGGTGTCACCGTAAGTGGGGTAGTATGCGCCTGATTCGCATTTAGAGTATTGCCTTTACATCTCTCTGGCTGTGACTTCTCTTTCTTCTTGTAAGCGATGTGTATATATATGTATTCTCTCGAGGGAAGACCAATAAAACAAACCTTGGTGCGATAAGGTGCTTCTCATTGAAAAGGCAAACATCAATACGCTTTCAAAGTCACACACCAGTCACCTAGAAACACAACTGCAACAAATACACACAATGGCTGTCGAGAGCAAAGTCAACAGACAGGCCACCTGCTCTGCCCCTGTCAACATCGCTGTCATCAAATACTGTAAGTTGACCTCACAATGCTGAGACGTACTGGGATGAGAACAAGTCCAATGTTTTATGACTAGTAGTGCTAGTTGGGGGTATTGTACTTAAAAGTATCTTTTATCAAGCGTGGTGAAGGATCCATCGCGATGGTGAAATGGCCTCGTATGAATATAGAACCGCGTCCTTATGACGATTTTTGGCCTTTATAAGGGTTTTTCCTTTACCTATAAGTATAGAATAATATTGCACATGCATATATGAGTGCACTATAGATGATACATCTTTTTCGGTTCATCGCGCAATGAGCTCGAGCAACGGCATACGAAGTATACACCGACAGAGTTTTAATGCATATTCAAGTATACAAATATATTACAATTACGAGGAAATGTGACTTGAAACCTGACTTATGCCATGTGTAAGGCCTCAATTCATCTGTAGAAGCAGACCTCGTATCATCCAACAACGCTAGTGTTGTGCGTAAACGTTTCGTATTGGTACCCTGGCAATGCTCTATCTGTCCCGCAATGAAACACCACTCGTAAGTTATATTGGAACTTCCCTCTTGGAAATCAGTTTTACAAATACTGCATATGTCTGTCCGGATATTAAATTACCTCACTTTTTTTGCGAGTAGCTAAGTCAATGTCTATTATCTAAGGCAAAAAGTACCACACGCATGGCCCATGTACCTATATATATATATATATATATATATATATATTGTATTATTAGGACGACCAACAAACTGTCTTCGTCGACACCGCCCTCTGAGTCCGTGTCGTGGTCGTGGGTC